AACTCAAAAAAAAAAAAAAAAGAAGTGGCACCCTCCCATCCCCTCTCTGCTCCCCACCTTCTTTCCACAAGGGCACACTTGCAAAATTCTCTCTTTTAGGAGCATAGGATACTAAGTTATAGATACCTCAGTGGAGGGTGTAAAAGTCTCACTTTTCCTTAAGCATGATGCAATTAGTAATTAATCATGTGTTTCAGCGAGTTCTATTTTTTAAGTGTTTGTTGGTTGCTGGTTTTGCAGGACGCTCGTGTTAGAAGTCATGTGTCCCGCCAGGCCATGCAGGGGATGCCAGTCCGAAACACTGGGAGTCCAAAGTCTGCGGTGAAGACCCGCCAAGCTTTCTTCCTTCACACTACATATTTCACAAAATTTGCTCGTCAGGTCTGCAAAAATACCCTCCGGCTGCGGCAGGCAGCGAGACGGCCGTTTGTTGCTATTAATTATGCTGCCATTAGGGCAGAATGTAAGATGCTTTTAAATTCTTAACCTTACGTGTTGTGCTTCTGACCATTTTCTCTTTTCCTCTCTCTCTCTCTCTCTCTCTCTCTCTCTTTTTTGTTTGTTTGCAATAAACATAAGTTCTTGTGTACAGCCTTTTATTTGGTTTATTTTTTTTTAACATTGTTTTTGTCTGCTGCCATTTGTATCATGCCAACCTGAAAAAACATTGCAACCTCTGTCATCTTTATCAGAGAATAGTGTTCAGCAAAGGATTGGGGGAGGCGGTCGTGTCCCGGATTTTGGGATCGACTTGCCTAAGAGCCCTAGGGAAGTACCTTTACCTGTGAGAAGGGGCCCCAGCACAGCCCTGGAGAGCGACAGCATAATGAAATCCCATATCTGACACAGCACAGTCCAGTCATACATGGGTTCATTAGGGTTAAATAAAATTTGTCAGTTTATACTAATTAGAGATCATATGTCTCTATAAGCCTCTCATTTTCCCACAAACCTTTTCCAATTGTCATACAACATTCTAGAAATTCACAGTACTTCATAAAAAATACTATATTTATTAGAAGGTTTAGCAAATTATAAATACATTTGGAACTCATTTTGGGGTGAATTATTTGAAAGTACACATTTAGTTTTTACAAGCTAGAGTCTAACGGTTGAGCAGTTTCTTGATTGGTCTAATTTGGCTTCCATTTCATAATCATATATCATATGTACTACCACATAGCATTTACACGACTTATGACTCTTGTTTTCAACACATTCAGTCTTGCTTTTGTTTCTTTTTTGTCCTTGTTAGAACAGAGGTCATATGTACCAATGGATTGTGGATTGTTCTGTCGTTACCATGTCTCTGACAATGTGTCCATAGTTTGTGTGTTAGCTCCTCAGTGACAATCCTGGCTCGCCTGTTAAAGCACAGATTTTTTTCCCTAAGGGCTGAGAAAACTTGCTGTCTGACTTAACAGTTAGGAAGTCTTAAAGACATTCTAAGAAAGCTCTTATTATGAGATGCTCCCCTTTGTTTTAGGGAAGCTATCTGTAAGAGGAGTGATGACTTTTTTGGTTCCTAATTTTTAGCGGAACAGTTGAAAGGCTTTAAAACTTACAGGTAAAAAGCTATCTAAGAAGAAGAAAAATGCTTTGTAAAGGGAATGGAAATTGTCACAATCCCAGGGAGGGGAAAAGTACATTGGATTCAGGTATGTTGGAGAAACCAGGCTTATCGTTAGGCTTTGTGCTAGCATTTTGGAGTTCATGGACTTCAGGTTACCCCATTCTTACCCATTTTAAGGAACTGGAAAATAAATATTTATATTCTTCCAAACTGTTCAGCTGCTATAAAGCACGTTTCTAAATACTCTTAAAAAAAGAAGAACATGCCGGGTACGGTGGCTCACACCTGTAATCCCAGCAGTTTGGGAGGCCAAGGTGAGAGGATTGCCTGAACCCACAGGTTCAAGACCAGCCTGGGCAACTTGGCAAGGCCTCATCTCTACGATAAATCAAAGGATTAGCTGGGCATGGTGGCGCATGCCTGTAGTTCCAGCTACTCGGAAGGCTGAGGTGGAAGGATCGCTTGAGCCCACCAGGTCAGGGCTGCAGTGGCCGAGAGCAGATCACTGCACTCCAGCCTGGGGGACAGAGTGAGACTTCAACTCAAAAAAAAAAAAAAGAACAAAACACTTAAGAAAAAAATAAATGAAACTCTCCCATTAAAATGGGCTGGGCTCCATCCAGTGTCATCTTGGTTCCTGTGAGTGGAGAAGCCACCCCCACTTAACTGGCTGCTGAGGGAGCTTCTGTTTCCCAAGGACTTGTCTGTTAATTTTCAGTTAATTTGCACATCATCTTTAGTTTGGTTATTCTTCAGTGAAGTATGTTTTTCTGTTAACCTCATTCTAATTTTTTTCCTCATTTGAAGGGCTATGCTGCTAAAAAAAAAAAAAAGGTTAAGATTAAATTACTTGTATTTAGGCTAGGCATGGTAGCTCATGCTTGTAATCCCAACACTTTGGGAGGCAGAGGTGAGAGGATTGCCTGAGCCTAGGGGTTCGAGACCAGCACGGGCAACTTGGCAAGACCTTGTCTCTACAATAAATAAAAAAATTAGCTGGGTGTCATGGTGCATGCTCACAGTTCCAGCTCCTTGGAAGCTTGAGGTGGAAGGATCACCTGATCCCAGTCGGTGGAGGCTGCGGTAGCCATGAGTGTGCCACTGCACTCCAGCCTAGCAACAGAGTGAGACTCTGACTCAAAAAAAAAACCTCTGTATAAGCATATAGATTATAATAACAACAAAGGTCTGAAAACACTGATATTTAGAAACTGATAAGATGTGAATACTTAAAGTCATATTTTCTTTTCAGAAAAAAATGATAAAGGAACAGTTATTTGGTGTGATGAGATTCAAAGAGCATGTATTATTTTGTATTTAGCATCTTCAGTCATTGAATTTTACATATATAATAGAATCAGATTAAAACAATTTTATTTATTTATTTATTTATTTTTTGAGTTGGAGTCTCACTCTGTCTCCCAGACTGGAGTGCAGTGGCTGCTCCCGGCCACCGCAGCCTCGGCCTGCTGGGCTCCGGCGATCCTTCCGCCTCAGCCTTCCAAGTAGCCGGAATTACAGGCATGTGCCACCACGCCCAGCTGATTTTTTGATTTATTGTAGAGATGAGGTCTCGCTGCCCAGGCGGGTCTCGAACCCGCGGGCTCAGGCAATTCACTCACCTCAGCCTCCCAAAGGCGCGGGATTACAGGCTGAGCCACCGAGCCCGGCTCAATTTTATTTTTTTATAGAGACCCAGGCTGTCTCAAACTTCTGGCCGCAAGTGATCCTCCCACCTTTGCCTCCTGTAGTGAGCCACTGCACCCAACCAGAAAGCAGATTCTTAAACAAATTTTACTTTGAGGTTTTAAATGACAAGATACCAGCGGCCATCTACTCAGTTATTTATTTTTTTTTAAGACAAGCAATTAATGAACTCTTTTCTTAGCATCTAATTGATTCATATATCATCTCTGTTCCTATGTGTAGCTTGTTACAACCTCTTCAGCAAATCCCTTGATCTTGACTTGTTAGTGAAATTGGGTATTAATAACCTGATGTCCATTGGCAACCATGTCTGTGACCCCATGGGATTGTAGAGGTCTATTTTTTTCAGTAAGCTTTTCTTGGTTTTTCAAAGATCGCATTAAACCCCTCTTACTACCCCCGCCAAAAGTTAATCACTATGATGAAAAGTGAATGCACTTTCAGATAACACAGAAGATTGTAATTCCCCAAACATGGATGGATCGAATTCTAAATAATGCATTTTAGAATAATTTATGTTGGGAAAGGAAAGTCGTTTTCCCTGTGAGCTTGAGACTCTCAAAAGCACTGGAGAAGGTGATCCCATTCTTGGCAGCACCATCACACCAGTGTCACAGAGCTTGTGGGATGACAGGCTGAGTAAGAGGGCAGGATCAGGGAGCCCAGGAGAGAAACTCAGGTAGATGGGGACCACAAAGTCCTGAGTCTTGACTGTTGAGAGGAAATTTTTTTTGGTTGGACACGGCTACAATCTTGGCTCTTTATTTAAAAACCTGTGTTTAGGTATATAGTACAGTAAAAAGTAAATCTGCATATGTATAAAATATCTCAATATGTAAATAATAGTGGGAAAGGAAACTGGGAAACGGAGAAAGGGGTGAGAGGGAGATTTTACCATTCTTCATCCATATATATATATATGAAATTTTATTTTAATTTTTTTAAGAGACAGGGTGTAGCTCTGCCACCCAGACTGGAATGCACTGGCATGATCATGGTTCACTGCAGCCTTGAACTCCTGGACTCAAGGGATCCTCATGTCTCAGCCTCCCAAGTGGAGGAACTACAGCTGTATGCAACCATATCAATGTACTTTTTTAGAGATGGGGTTTCACTTTTAAAAAAGGATTTTTAAAACAATTTTCCCAAATACCTAAACATTTACTTTAATAATATACCTTTCTATGTGAATACATAAGTCCATGCCAAAAGCCACTAACATTAGGAAAATACCTGAGCCACTTCTGCCTTGTAGACAGTGCTTATTAAAAATGAACTGGTAGGCTACTGCCTTACGAGACTCTGGTGTGGCCCTGTGCTCTTTGAGCTATGGCTGTCACCATGTTTCCTGGCTTTGTCCCCTTCCCTACCGTGGGGAGGTGAATCTCCTCTCTAATTTACTTTCTAAGTAAACTATATTTTCTGATCTAAGGGGGGGAAAAATGGACTAGTAGACTAAAACCCAAACACTGCCTAACAAAAAGTACCATGTCCTTAAGATGCAGGGTCCAGCAGCAAGGCTCTAACGGCATCAAGTTTAGGCTTCTGTCCCTGCTCCTTCTTGATGCCCCTCCCTCAGTAAAAAAGCTCTGATTGGGATGTCTTCCTCCTTTCTTATTCTTGTCAGACTTCAGAGTTGCCCAGGTGACTTTGTCAAAGATCCACAAAATCACCCAAACATCCGACGAATATAGGACTGTCACCATTTGAGATTCCGGGTCCTCACAGACCGAGGTTACGTAGAAATAAGTGTGTAGGCAGCATTCCGAAGGTGAAACCAGTGTGCCTAGGAGAGCGGATCCCAGTGAGTTGCCAGTGGACTTGACTACCTGACCTGAAAATCAGCAATGCTTCCCAGTACGAAGTTGTTTGGGAGGGATTTGTAGCTGTTTTTCTGTTTGAAGATGGTAATTCAATGTTGGAAGTGTCCCAAGACTTCATTTTGTGAGAAATTTGTTTTCTAATGAAGTTGGTTTTTTTTTTTCCCTAGAGATTTCTCAAAAAAGCTAATACTTGTATACACTTTTCTGAAATTTTAAGCTCTAAACATTAGGAGAGAACACATAATTTGCTTCTTTATTTATTGATAGAGCTTTCTAATTTTTTTAGGACCAGGCACCATGGTTCATGCCTGTCATCCCATGTTTTAGGAGGTCAAAGTAGGAGGATCACTTGAGGCCAGGATTCTAACCACACCCCATATCTACAAAAAGGAAAAAAAATTAGCTGGGCCTGGTGGCACGCACCTGTAGTTCCAGCTACTCAGTAGGCTGAGGCAGCAGAATCCCTTGAGCCCAGGAGTTCAAGCAATACCCTTTCTCTACAAAAATAAATATAAAAAATTAGCTAGCTGTGGTGGCACATGGCTGTAGTTCTAGCTACTTAGGAGGCTGAGGCAAGAGCCCAGAAATTCGAGGCTGCACTGACTTACGATCACACCCCTGCACTTCAGCCTGGGCAACATAGGAAGACCCTGTCTCTAAAAATTAAGTAATGAAATTAACATTTTTTGCCTTGTATGATCAATGCCTAGGGAGTTTATTTTTAATAAGCGCTTGCTTTTAAATGAATACTTCTGAGTTTGTTTTTTTTTGAGTTGGAGTCTCACTCTGTCGCCCAGGCTGGAGTGCAGTGGCTGCTCCTGGCACCGCAACCTCGACCTGATGGGCTCCAGCAATCCTTCCACCTCAGCTTTCTAAGTAGCTGGAACTTCAGGCGCACGCTACCACGACCGGCTAATTTTTTGATTTATTGTAGAGATGAGGTCTCACCAAGTTGCCCAGACGGATCTTGAACCCGCGGGTTCAGGCAATCCACTCACTTCAGCCTCCCAAAATGCGAGATTACAGGCTGAGCCACCAAGCCAGGCTTGGGTTTTCTAAAAGGTTCAAAAGTGGTTACAAATCTCATCACCTTTCTCATTCCTGATTTACCCTTTTCAGAGGTAGTCATTATTATGGTTGTCTTAAGTATCCAAAAGTATTCTATGCATCAGTAGGCATCTGGGTAGGTTATTCTTTGTTTGTTTCTTACAGATGTTAACATACTGTTTATGTTGTTCTGCACCTTGCTTTGTTAAAATGTAGCATATCATACCCATACATACCCTTTTATTGTGTGTCAGCTTCATAATCATCTATTTTCTTGTACTGTAATTTAACCAGTTCCCTACTAAAAATTTTTATTTCTAATCATTTTTTGTTACAGTGTTGCAACAAATATCCTTATACAGTATCATTTCATACTAATGTGTAAAATGGGAATGTACATAGGCTGGGCACGGTGGCTCAAGCCTATAATCCCAGCACTTTGGGAGGCCTAGGCAAGAGGATTGCCTGAGCCTGTGGGTTCAAGACCAGTCTGGGCAACTTGGCGAGACCTCGTCTCTATAATTTAAAAATAATAATAATTACCTGGTAGTGGTGGCGTGTGCCTGTAGTTCCAGCTACTTGGAAGGCTGAGGCAGAAGGATCACCTAAGCCCAGCAGGTCGAGGCTCCCGTGACTGTGAGCATGCCACTGCACTCCAGCCTGGGCAACAGAGTGAGACTCCAACTCAAATTAAAAAAAAGTCCTTATACAGTATCATTTCATACTGAAGTGTAAAATGGGAATGTAGCTTACAAGATAGACCCTGCAGTAAAAGCCGGGGTCAAGGAACATACATTTGGAATTGTGATAGTCATTATTCAGCTGCTCTCAGAAAAACTGCGATTTGTACTCCCACCTAGAATGTCTAGAAAATGCAGATGTCTCTAGAACCTTGCTAGCAGTGTTACCCATCTTTGAAACTCTCGACTAGGTGACAGGTGACTCATGAGTTATATTAGCTTGCTTTTCTCATTTTGAATGAGAAATATTTGCATATATTTGAAAACTATTTGTATCTGTCAACTGTTTTTGCCCCTGTCCTGTTTTCTATTAGATAGAAGTCTTATTGACTTGTGGGAACTTTTTATATTTTAACAAAGTTAGCTTTTGGTCTGTGATGTGTGATGCAAATATTTCCCCCATTTTTGTCTTTGACTTTGTTTATGATATATTTGCCAAACAGATTTTTTAACAAACAGTTGAATTTATCAAAATTTTTATGGCATCTAGGTTTTGTTTCTTGTTTAGAAATGCCTTTCTGATTCTATAAGTGAATGCTAATGATGGCTTTCTTTTGACAGGGGTCTTGAAAGCCCATATAAGATGTTTTTGTGAATTTTAATTCACTGTATATTTTGCGGTTTTCCTATCACACTGCCCCCCAATATTTCCAAAACATTGCAGAAAAATAGATGTACGTTGCAATCAAAGCAACAGTGTTTTTTCCACGTTCACCTCAAGGAGTTATAAACCATCCTCTAGGAAGCTAAGGACTAGTGCCTTGTGTCTAATAAAGTGACTTGAGTGAGATACAGACATTCTATCTCTCTGGGCAGGTTTGACTCCTGGCTCTTTGGGGATCTCTCAGGTTGCTGTCTTAAGCTGAGTAATTTAGGAGGAAGGACTGACTGACAGGTGCCACCATTGTTTGGCCTGGTCTTAAGGGCAGACCAGGATTCTTTCTGACTCTTGAGTGTGGGCCAATAATCCTGTTCTGATCAAATCATGTCAAATAAAAGTCAACTTTTTCATAAACTCTAGCCCCTTAGGGCATCCTATATTTTTCCTATTGAATGACTGAAGCTCTTCTTATGGCAAACAGTGACTAGAGTCTTAGCACCTTTCTCTCTAATTTTTTCATAGCCTGATAATTCGTAGCCACCACCAACCGCTTTCTTTAGAATATAATGAGGATTAGTGAAATAGGAATCCTTCTCCAGAGCTTTGATCTCCCACTCCAAGATGCTCTGTAATGTAAATTGTCACTTGGATATCATATAATTAATCTTGCTAAAGTAATGAGAAATTAACGGCAGACAACATAGTTAAAATGAATTATATGTGGGTATTGTGTTGACTTGTTGATTCTTGCCGTGGTTGATGGTGGTAGCCGCCAGTGTCTGTCGGTTGCAACCCTATTGGCAGTTTCCCTTTGGACTGGCGTGAAGAACGAGTTAATCTTATTACTAGTAATACAGCAATTGCCTTTGTCCAAGAGGTTGAGGAGTGAGTGGTTCATTCAAGCTTTATTTTATTAATAGAGAAGAAAAAAAGATAATTTTCTCTAACCCTTAGCCCAAATATAACTTGAATTTCAGGTGAATTAGTAATATTAGCAAGAAAACCCAGTATTAGCTCTCAGTGATTTTTCAGGTATTTGATACCTGCAGGATTTGGGTTGCTTCCTGAGGTTTATTTAGGTTACTCTTCCAAAATAGACTTGCTATATAAGACACTGCCTGTATCTTCACCATTATTCAGTAGCAGGTGAAAAGTTTCAGAGTTTAGTAATTTATTTTTTCCCCGTGGGAATCAACTGAATAGGAGGAGAATAAACGAGATCATTTATGTTTGTCAGTGGTTGCATAATACTTAGCCAGTACTTTGGGGTGCATATTCAGACTCCTGTTGTTTGAGGCTCCCTGCAGTATGTGTTTTATCTATTTCGGTGTTTTTTAAAAATGCTATTTACCCCTTTCTGCTTAACAATTACTAGAAAAGAAGGTTTTAGGTGGTTTTTTTGTTGTTGTTGTTTTTATTTTTATTTTTGGTGAAGGGGCTAGAGCTTATGAAAAAGTTGACTTTTATTTTACATTATTTGAAGTTCCAGATTGAATTTTATTTTTCGACACTAACAGCACAAATAATTCCTGTGAATAGTGAAGGAAACTTCCAATGTTTACGCCTAGAAATGTGGCCTCTGCTTGCAAAAGGAAAAAGTCTCTGGTTGATCAGAAAACCTGTAGGACATTCGAGTCAAATATTTGAAGGTGGAGAAAAGGCTTAAACATAGTGGAATCCTAGTCTGTTAAACTTTTTTTTTTTTTTTTTTGAGTTGGAGTCTCACTCTGTCACCCAGACTGGAGTGCTGTGGCTGCTCCCGGCCACCACAGCCTCGACCTGCCAGGCTCCGGCGAGCCTTCCACCTCAACCTTCCAAGGAGCTTGAACTACAAGCACGTAATTCCACGCTCAGCTAATTTTTTGATTTATTGTAGAGATGAGGTCTCACCAAGTTGCCCAGGCGGGTCTGAAACCCGCGGGCTCAGGCAATCCACTTACCTCAGCCTCCCAAAGGCGCGGGATTACAGGCTGAACCATCGAGCCTGGCTATCTGTTAAGCTTTATGACAATATCTGTGAATTTTAAAAAGCATTTTCATACACATTGTGTATTGTCCGTTCAAACTCCCATTTTTAGAATTTAACTCTTTGGTATGAGAAGTGGTTGCATTCCACATCTACTCTTCCATCCTAACGACAGCTAATTAAAACACAGAATGTTTGTATTGCATGCTTTCTTTTTCTCTGAATGTCATGATAGGGTGTGAGGAGTGACATGAAAACTTTTATGAATTAATATCCATCCCCACAGTGTCTTACTATTCTGACTGTTGAATGAAATAGTCTGCACACAAGTAAGCTTTAAAATCTCAGCACTAATGACATCATAGTAGGATATCAGGGAGAGAAAACCAGTGATAAAACCAAATGGCCGTTTATTACCGTGGCTAGATTCTCATCTACAGGAAGTGAGTTTCACCAAGACAGGCTAAGAATTCTCAGTGGGGACCCGCTCATTCTAGTCAGGGACTGAGTGTGTCACCTGTATCAGCTGTCATTTATCTTCCATGTCAAATCTATATTATGAGAACTGATCCATCTTGGACTTTATGGGCATTTTTCTGCTGTATGGTAGAAATGTGGCCAGAAAGGAGGCACATATTCTGTCTCTTTTCAGATGGGCAAACACAGAAAGATAGCATGAGAGTGTAGGATGCGTGTTAGCTGTACCCATACCCATGAGGCTTTAAGGTGAGTGCTTGCATTCGGCACCTGGGAACCAGTGCTAGAAATGGTTTTCTCAAACCCAAAAGGAAATCGTGCAGGAGTCTGGTGACTATTTTGCAGTGTTTTCCACTTGCACCTTTCATTTCTGCGGTGTGTGTGGTCCAGGTAAAGAAATTCGCCTCACTGGTTGTCTCCATGTTTCTTTCTCTCCTCAGATGCAGACAGACATGCTGAACTATCTGGAAGTCCACTGAAAAGCAAAAGCACTAGGAAGCCTTTGGCATGTATCATTGGGTATTTAGGTGGGTATTTTCGAATAGAGGAAAAGCTCAGAGAACAATTTCTGAATATTACAGACACTTGGCCGTTCTGAATGGGCACACTTATATTAAATTCAAGCCTTTTCAATAACTGAAATTGGATGTCTTTGATATATAGACAGTTTATTTTGTTTTAGAAACTTTTATTTTTATTACACACACACACACACACACACACACACACAGAATTGTGGTATATGTTTACTTTTTCTTAAAAAAAAAAATAATTGAAACCGGGCATGGTGGCTCAAGCCTGTAATCCCAGCACTTTGGAAGGCGGAGATGAGAGGATTGCCCGAGTCCAGGTGTTCGAGACCACCCTGGGCAACCTGGCAAGACCTTGTTTCTACAACAAATCAAAAAATTAGCTGGTGGTGGCATACGCCTGTGGTTCCAGCTACTTGGAAGGCTGAGGCGAAAGGATCGCCTGAGCTCAGCAGGTCAAGGTTGTGGTGACTGTGAGCATGCCACTGCACTCCAGTTTGGGTGACAGAGTGAGACTCCAACTCAAAATAAAAAATAATAATAATAAAATGCAAAGTGAATATCCATGGAAATAAATACAGATTAAACAGAAAGAGGAAAACAAAAAGCACTCAATTATTCCTTAGAATAGTCTCACTATTCTTTAGATCCTTGCACTGTTTCCAACACATTTCATCCCTCCCTTTAAACAGGGGATTGGTTTTTTCTTTTTTTTTTTTTTAATGATATCAAACTGATTTTTAAGCGATCTTAAAAATATGTGTAGTTTTGATGTGCTTAAGATTACTTTGAAAAGGAAGCATTTGCTTTCTGGTTGTTATCATGCCATCTAACTCGGAAATCTCCAAAGATGATGGCTTCATTTTCATGTTAAGAATAGTTTTAAAAAATACTAGGCAATAATCCCTAATCCCTAACCCCCCTTTTATTTATTTTTTTTACAAAGTTTTAAGACAAAAAACTTACAAAATAATGGTTCCTCATATACCAAGAAGCAAGAACGGCATGTTTTTGTGCTTCTAATATTTCTTTTTCATTTTCTCAGTGAAGTTAAATATGTACTCAGAGCTGCGCTGTCAGAAAGAGTCATAATTATGAAATGTTCAGACTTCAGACATTCAGTCTTTTGGAAATCAAAGTGTGGTCTTCAATGTGGAATATTATTGAGTCCTTATCACAGGGTCCCAGGACTCGGAGCTCACAGCCCGCTCTTTGCTATTTGCTCTGCCTCCTATTTCTTGCTTTGTTTCTCAGGTGCTAAAGTGTAGCTGTGCTGTCCACGGTCATGGTGGTAACAGCCTTGAAGGTTGCTGTCAGTATCCCCCTCAGGAATGACTCTTGGAAGCCCCTTCCCATCTTGCAAGGGACAACTGCTGCTCATATTAGGCTTTCCATGGGTAATTGTGCGTTTCTCCTGTGGGCAAGTTGGTCTCTATATCTACCAGATAAGCCCAAAGCTGTGCTGTTTTTACGAACTGAACCACATCCCTATACAACGTATTTCTGTGCATTTATATGTTCAAGACACTGCACTAAGTGATCTGGGGAACATTCAAGGTGCATAAGACCTTACCCTCAAAAATCTTAGTCTAATGGGGAAAGCGTGCAGGTAAAAACAATAAAGCAGGCCGGGCTCAGTGGCTCAGCCTGTCATCCCGGCACTTGGGGAGGCCAAGGTAAGTGGATTGCCTGAGCCCACAGGTTCGAGACCAGGCTGGGCAACTTGGCGAGACCTCACCTCTACAATAAATCAAAAATTAACTGGGCATGGTAGCGTGCGCCTGTAGTTCCAGCTACTTGGAAGGCTGAAGCAGAAGGATTGCGGGAGCCCAGCAGGTCAAGGCTGCAGTAGCTGAGAGGCATGCCACTGCCCTCTATCCTGGGTGACAGAGTGAGACTCCAACTCAAAAAATAAAAGACAGTCTTGTTAAATAATTACAGACAATATTCATTGGGCACTCAGAGAGAGGAAAAACTATAAGGGGGGACTCCAAAAGCCAGAATTATCTTTTTGAGGGCAGACCCCTTGTATTACAGGCGTCCTCCCATTAGGCAAGTATTCTAGGAACCCATTGGCATCAATGGACCAGCTAGAGTTGTTGTGAGAGGCTGCGTTTGGCTTCAGTGAATTTTGGGGGGAGATTATTTAAATGCGTTTGCCCATTTCATGATTACGAACACACCTGGTCACACCTCAAGGAGTGTTCAGCAGATTTTGACCAAAAAATGGCATGACCTCCATGCCTCACCCTCCCTATTCACCTGATCTTGCTCTGAGCAACTTTTATTTATGTATTTAGAAAGCAGGTTTTATTGAGAAGACAGAAAAGCTCCCACAGTGGGAGGGGACCTGAAGGAGTTGCCCCCCTGAGCGACTTTGTTTTGTTTCCCCGAAGGAAAAAAGTCTTCAAAGGGAAACATTTTGCCAATGTGGAAGAGGTGAAACCAAAAAATGGCAGAAGCACTAAAAGGCACCAAAACGGACAAATTCAAAAACCATTTGAGCAGTGGAAAAAGCGGCTTAATAGGTGTGTTGCATCAAACCGAGAGTACTTTGAAGGTGATTGAAGTTTCAACATGCAGGAAGCCAGGCTTGGTGGCTCAGCCTGTAATCCCAGCACTTTGGGAGGCCCAGGCGAGTGAATTGCCTGAGCCCGTGGGTTCGACATCAGCCTGGGCTACTTGGCGAGACCTCGCCTCTACAATGAATCAAAAATTAGCTGGATGTGGTAGCGTGCACCCGTAGTTCCGGCTACTTGGAAGACTAAGGTGGAAGAATCACTGGAGCCCAGCAGGTTAACGCTGGGGTGGCCGTGAGTGTGCCACTGCACTCCAACCTGGGCTACGGAGTGAAACTGACTCAAAAAAAAAAAAAAAAAAGTAGGAATAAATGCTCGATTTTTTATAAATAAATTCTGAGTTTTTTCATACCCCCCCCGTTTTTCTGCTAAATGTTAGGGCACCCCACCTGAAGAAAGTAGCAGTTAACCTCAGCCTTGAAAGATATGTAGGATTTGAATAGATGGAAAAATAGGAAAAGACTCTTCCCTCATGAGGCCAAAAGAAGCAGATGAACAAAGTCTTCAGTGATGCCAAGAATCTGAAGGCAGGGTGTCTCGTCTGAAGGGAAAATGAGGTTGGCAAAACTTTAACGCTGTGTTGGAAAAAAAAATCAGCCGAGCGTGGTAGCTCATGCCAGTAATTCCAATACTTTGGGAGGCAGAGGCGAGAGGATTGCCTGAACTCAGGGGTTCGAGATCAGCCTGAGCAAAATGATGAGACCTTGTTTCTACAATAAATCAAAAAATCAGCCAGGTGTGGTGGCACATGCCTGTGGTTCCAGCTACTTGGTAGGCTGAGATGGAGGATCACCTGAGCCCAGAAGGTTGAGGCTGTGGTGGCCATGAGTGTGCGATTGCGCTCCAGCCTGGGTGACACAGTGAGACTCCAACTTAAAAAAAGAAAAAAAGGCCAGGCTCGGTGGCTTAGCTTATAATCCCAGCACTTTGGGAAGCCAAGATGAGTGGATTGCCTGAACCCGTGGGTTCAAGAATAGCCCCAGCAACTTGGCCTGACCTCGTCTCTACAATAAATAAAAAATTAGCTGGGCATGGTAGTGTGCACCTATAGTTCCAGCTACTTGGAAGACTGAGGCGGAAGAATCACTGGAGCCCAGCAAGTCGAAGCTGGGGTGGCTGTGAGTGTGTCACTACTCTCTAGCCTGGGCAACAGAATGATACTCCAACTCAAAAAAAAAAAAAATCATTATTTTGGGGGTAGTATTTAAGCCATTTCTAAATGTTGGCAAGTGTCACCAGAGTGAGTTATAGCAGTTCTGACAATCCCAATGGTTCTTCCTAAATTTCAGTAAATAAGGTTGTTACTTAGGCAGGGTGACTTGCCTGCAGACAGCATGTTGGGCAATGACTATGAGAATCAGTGAGCCGGCAAAGCTTTTGAGAAAAGGTTGCCCAGTATGAGTAGTAGACTGGAGTTCTTCACTTTCTACAGTATGGCAATTTCTGTCCTGCAATAAGTACAAGTAGTTCCAGGTTATGTGGCTGACAACAGTATACCTCAGTTAAACATGCACGTACCACGGACATATCTCAGTGTTGTGATATATCCTTGGTCAAAGCATTTCTTCCACCTCTTGACTATTTGTCTTTGGACTTTGGTTTCAGATTTCATCTGCATCTAAGTGTTGTGGGCTGGGAGTAATTGACCCTGGTCCCAGACCCTGGTCACAGAGCCAGAAGGGAAATCCTGTTTTTTCAGAAAGCTCACGCACTTGGCTGGACAGAGCACAGAGGTGTTTCTTTTCTGAGGCTACCTCTCCAGATACCCTTTGGTTTCTAATATCTTGAAGAGTCAGATGTCTTATTTCCTTAGCAAATCACATGTTGTAAGTGACCTTCTGAAGTGGCTTTTTTTTTTTTTTTGCTGGTATTCACAGCCAGTAGGGGAAGAACCAGCTTACTTGATAAGCAAAGCCATAGCAACAGCATTTGAGGCCGATTCATTATGCCAGTCCTGGGCTGGCGCAGGAAGAACTGACTCTCACCTCATTAAGAAATAAGATGTGTGTCTATTAGCCAATGTTAAGTGCACACGGAGATTTTTAATGTCATGTTCTGAGCTGAGAAACCTTTTTCCCTCCCCCTTCAGAGATCCATCCTGCAAAGAAACCTAATGTAATCCGATCTGCACCGAGCCTGCAAACCCCCACCACCAAGCGGATGCTCACTACCCCGAACCACACATCTCTGAGCATTCTGGGGAAAAGAAACTACAGTCATCACAACGGTCTGGACGGTATGTAAGCCCAGGAATTCTGGAGGCTGTTCTGAAAGGCCAGGACCCCTCTGCACGCGGGTGTGTGCCTGCCACATCCGAGAATGTGTTACAAACAGGCTCTCTGCTCCATGATTAATCTACATGTGGCATGGGGGTAGGGGAGCGCTGCCACATGCCACATTTTCCAAGGGATAATTCTCCATGTCATCCCAAGCTCCCCTTTTGCTAACATCCCCTATCAGGAGGCTTATCTGGAGATGAAGACTCTAGTCAGCAGGCAGCTTCTGCTAGGTAGTCACGTGCTTGCTGTGATGCTCATGTAAGTTTTCTCAAACAGGGATTTTTTTTTTTGGCCTTATGTCTGAGACATCAGTGTTCTCTGGGGTTCTTCAGTGTCTGTAGATCATTTTGAATTTGGCCATTTGTCCCCTGCTTCTTTCACCTTCTAATTTTTTAAATTGCTCAAGCGTGCTACAAGTCATGAAAGGAATTGCCTGGGTGATGCCCTAAATAAGAAATAATAATTTGCTTGGAATGGAAAAACAGAAATATCACCTCTTAGCCAAAGTACTTCTCTTGGGCTTGGCCATGTAATGACTTGTCAGGTGGAAGTGAATTATCTTCCCATTTGGATTATAAACACAACCATAATAAATCATTCAGGCAATATATATTGTTCATTTCAATAGTCCTGGAGTTTGAAGCAGTCTTTATTGTTTAAGTGTTGGCATTTATTTATGAATAAAACTCTCCAGGCTTTTCATGCCTTATGGAACTCTCAATTCCTTCAGTGACAGTAAATTATTTATAATGAGGCCCTAGAGCAAGGATGTGGAATAGACCTTCTCATAATAATTTCCCACAGTGGTTTTTCTTCATTATGACTTTGGGTGGTCATAATCATGTCAAAAATGAGTAAAAATTTTAGGGTGAGGAGTTCAGTTTGCATTTATAGGGTATCAATGTGTTGTAGATATGGCTTTCAAGAATTTATCTACTCAGCAGACTTGCAGAAACACTCCCTTGCTAGTGAGAATACTGGCCATCCTTGCAACAATATGCCTGATGCCTAGACAGCAGAAGACCAAGAAAGGGTCATGTCAAGACATGAAGATTGGATTTCTTTCTGGTTTTTCCTTGCCCACAGCCTAGGGCCTTTGGATTCAAGTGTAAATGGACTCTGGAATCTTTTCTCATCTTATAACTTCCCTGGCCTTTCCAGATGTATTGTCCTGCTGTAGAAAGCATAAAAAATGATCTGGATCATTTGAGATACAGATCCATTCTTTCTGGTTGAAAGACTGTCCTTGTGACTGATGCTGGAACGGCAGCTTTTTAGTATCTTCTTCCATTCACACTCTGTGGTTATCTGGAGCCCAGGCCTGGCCCAGCATTGCAGCCTCTCTTACTCTTTCCTCAGAGGCGTGGGTACCTGTTTCCTTGGGATTTCTTTAAAATGCTGCCTTGTCGTGTTCCCTGTCCACGCTGGTTTGTCCTGTTTCTCTCTGGATGGAGGCTGCTGGTTCTCTGAACAGGAGGAATGGACAGGACACACAGTGAATCCTTGGTGTTCCATAGACTGAGGCCTTCTCTGTTTGGGGGGACAGACACCCATCTCATTTTCTGAAGAGGCTTAGCTACAGAAACACTTCTTTCTTCAAGACCCGTTTGTCTTTGTTCTCCTGTCACAGTGTGGAGAGCGAGGCTGGTGACATGTGCCCGGCACAGTGCCGACTCCCTTTCTGGTTATCTGACTTGATTCACATGACAGAAAGTTCTGGAAGGTCAGGGAAGCTGTTTTGCATACCATGTTGTCTCTGTGCCCAGTACAATCTCTGGCACTTACTAGGTGCTCAGTATATATTAATTGTATGCATGGAAGTGACTGAGAAAAACAAGACCTTGGGAAGTGACAGAAGTGTTCCAGGTTACCAGGTGCCACCCAGATGGAGTGGGCATCCCACTCAGGTGTGAGGGTTTCAGAATCTGCTCCTTTCACCACTGTTCTCCGTGAAACTATGACCCTCAAATATGCCGTATCAGGTTCTGTTAGCAAAGATAGAAAGTGTGTCATTTATTTTAACAGCTACTTTGGTGTAAGAAATCAATATGACAGATATTGAAGGACAGTAGGTTAACAGGGACACGGGGGACACAGGAAACAGCCACCATTCTTAGGGTTGGGAGAGCACAAGGAAGAAGTTGTGGTTATCACAACCTAGAAGCTCCTGGAGGCCCCAGGAGCTGGAGCCCAGCCCTGCACTGCAGCGCCAGTGTGGGCACCTCCCAGGAGGTGTGATGAGGCTGGTCTGACTGCTGCCACTGCCTGGGGTGGCACTGACAGGAGCAGGATGGAACAGGTCCCGCTTGCCTCCTCCAGCCCTGCAGACTCCCAGCAGGTGTGACAGGAGAGTCCCACCGGCCCCAGCATCCCAAGCTGGGTTGGAGGATGAACGTGGAACTGAGAAACCTTGTGATGGACGTGTACGTTTCAGAAAGCGTCCATATTCTTGTGTTACTCAAAGACCTTCTCCTTGGGGTCCTGGGCCTATTGCTTACCTCCTCAGGATACAGGATCCTGACTAACCTGAGTTTCCAAGATGAGCTCAAAGTACTGGAGAAAATATTTGACTCAAAGCGAGTTCTCATGGGACAGTTATTATTACCACGATATACTGAAATAGATAGAAACTCATGGGAAAGCCTTGCCCTGCCTGATCCAATAATAAAATCCATTAGCACTGCTACTTAATTATTAGGATGTCAGACAGATGAGCACACCAAACCAAATGTTGATGGACAGAACTGGTCTAGCTGGAACAAAACCTGGTCCTACTGAAACGTTCAGGTCTCTCAGCTCTGGGGCGCCTGTCACCTTCGGTGACCCATCTCCCCCACTCACCCTCCACACGTGCATCGTGGGCTCTTGACAATGGGAAATGCCAGTGTCCACACCTCTTCGCCGGAAGCAGATTCTGTCTCCAGAGACCTCTCTGCTCATCTGCAAGAAGCAGCTTCTCGTCCGTCCAAGTTTTATCATGAGAGTGCAGGCCTTCAGTCCCATCTCAGGCTCCACTGTCATCCAGGCTTTGTCGTTCCAGGGCTGGCTTGTCCTGTTTCTCCCTCCTATTAGAGGCTGCTGGTTCTCTGAACAGGAGGAACAGAAAGGGCGCGCACACTTCCTTCTTCAAGATCCGTTTGTCTTTGCTTTCCTTTCACAGTGTGGAGAGGGAGGCAGGTGATGTGCCCAGCGCTTTGCTGACTCCCTCTCTGGTTATCTGACTCGATTCACATGACAGGAAATTCCGGGAGGTCTGGGAAGCTGTTGTGCTAACCATCGTGTTTCTGTGCCCAGCACAGTCCCTGGCACTTAGTAGGTGCCCAATTAATTGCATAAATGGAAGTGACTGAGAAAAAGGAGACCTTGAGAAGTGACGGAAGTGTTCCAGGTTACCAGGCGCCAACCAAATGCCGTGGGCGTCCCACTCAGGTGTGAGGGTTTCAGAATCTGCTCCTTTCACCACTGTTCTCTGTAAAGTTGTGGCCCTCAAATATGCCACAATGGCAGATTTAGCATAGTTCTGAAGGGCCCTGGGATTTTTGAGATGGTAAATGAGCACTGATTTTAACTTAAAGGCAGTCACCAGCTGCATTAGGTCCTAGTGAAAGTCAGCTTGTCCTTTGGAGCTTTGAAGCCAGGCATTGACTTCTCTCGAGGTATGAAAGTCCTAGATGGCATCTTCTTCCAGTGTAAAGCTGCTTCATCTACATTGAGACTCTACTGCTTAGTGTAGCCACCTTCAACGAGCTCACCTAGATCTTCTGGATAACTTGCTGCAGCTTCTCCATCAGCATGTGCTGCTTCACCTTGCACTTTTCTGTTAGAGAGATGGCATCTTCCCTTAAACCTCACGAACCAACCTCTGCTAGCTTCAGACTTTGCTTCTGCAGCTTCCCTACCACTCTCAGCCTTCATAGAATTGAACAGAGTTGGGGCCTTGCTCTGGATTAGGCTTTGGCTTAAGGGAATGTTGTGGCTGGTTTAATCTTCTACGCAGATCACTCAATAACTTATCAGCAGTAAGTCTGTTTCGCTCTCACTTGTGTGTTCCCTGGAGTAGCACTTTTAACTTTCATCAAGAACTTTTGCATTCACAACTTGGTTGTTTAGTGCAAGGGGTCTAGCTTTTAGCCTGTCTCAGGTTTTAACATGCCTTTCTCACTAAGCTTCATGATTTCTAGCTTTTCATTTCAAGTGAGAGATGCGCAACTCTTTTTCTCACCTGATTACTCAGAGGCTGCCAATATTGAAAGTAGGCTGCCTACTTTGAGTATTGTTGTGTCTCAGGAAATAGGGAGGGCTCAGGAGAGCGAGAGAGGAAGGAGAGGATGATGGGTGGAGCAATGAGAACATACATCACATTTATCACGTAAGTTTGCTGTCTTATATGCGTGAGGTTCATGTTGCCCAAAAACAATTACAAGAGGAATATCTGGCTGAGCACAGGTGGCTCACACCTCTAATCCCAGCATTTTGGGAGGCTGAGTTGGGAGGATTGCTTGAATCTAGTAGTTCAAGACCAGTCTGGGCAGCATAGTGAGACCTCATCTCTACAGAAAGTCAAAAATAGCCAGGCATGGGGGCATGTGCCTACAGTCCCGCCTACTCGGGATGGCTGAGGCGAGAGGATCGCCTGAGCCCAGGAGTTCGAGGCTGTGGTGAGCAGTGACCATGCCACCACACTCCAGCCTGGGCAACAAAATGAGACCTGGACTCAAGAAAGAAAGAAAGAAAGAAAAAGTAACATCAAAGAGATCAGTTATCACAGATCACCTTGACAGACGTCATAATGAAAAAGTTTGAAATATGGCAAGAATTACCAAAATGTGACACAGAGACATGAAGTAAGCACCTGCTGTTGGAAAAAGTACTTGCTTGAAGCAGAATTGTCACAAACCTTCCATTTGTAAAATGCAATATCTGTGAAGTACAATAAAGCAACGCTCAATAAAACTGT